CCCTGGACAAGTCACTTAACCCTGATTGCCTCAGATTCCCAGTCACTCAGTTTATTAAGTACACAAACTATGTGCCAGACACTGAGCTAGGCAATGGAGATTTTAAAAAAAAGTAATAGTTCTTGCCTTCACGAAGCTTACATTTTATCAGGAGAGAATATATATGTATGCATATGCATATGTATATGATGTGTGTGTGTATGTGTACAAAATAAATACAAAAGGAAAATTTATGGGGAGGAGACAAGGCATTAGCTGGCTGGGGTGAGGGGGGATCAGAGAAGGCTTCATGTTAAAGGTTATACTTTGGTGTAATTTCAAAAGAAATATGGAATTCTAAGAGGCACAGATGAGGAAGGAGCACATTCCAGGCAGGAAGGGGGCAATCAGTGCAAAAGCATGGAGATAGGAGATAGAATCTAGCATATGAGGAGCAACAAAAAGGCCAGATGAGGAAACTGAGGCCCAAAGAGGTTACCTGACCACAGGTAACCACAGACCACAGAGGTAGTGTAAGAGGCAGAAAAGAGAGTGTTGTCTGTAGAGACTGCTGTAAAATGATCTGGAGAAGGAAATGACAAACCACTCTAGTATCTTTGCCAAGAAGACCCCAAATGGGGTCACAGAGACAAGAATGAAAAATAACTGAATTGAATGATCTGTATGATACCATGAAAAATGAAGGTAGAAAGAGGGATATGAACTAGCTACCCGACCTTGGGCAAGTCACTTCACCATTTTTTTGTGCCTCAATTTGCTCTTCTGTAAAATGGGGAAAATAATAGCAACTACCTCATAGGGTTGTGTGGATCAAATGAGATAGCATATGTAAGGTACTTTGCAAACCCGAAAGTGCCATGTAAATGCTACCAACTATAATTATGATGATGAGAAGGATGATGATAATGTGAAGGCAGTGATGCCTTCAAAGAAATGTGCTGTGAAACATACGAGGTTTCTCACCTATGTGAGCACTTCCCTGGCCCCAACCCTCCTGGGATGCAAACTTCTTGAGGGCAGGGAGTATGGCTTACTTCTAAGATTATAGGACTTAGAACTTAATTGGTCTTTCGAGATCACTGAGTCCAACTGTGTCATTTTAGTGGTGCGGTCACTTAGGCCTCTCAGAGTGAGAGGGTTAGCTTGAGGGCTCACAGGGAATAATAAGCCGGATCAGCGTTGGAACCCAGGTCTCACCTCTGAATCATTTTGCATGGTGTTCATTCCGTGATCATTCATGGCTCCTTGCAGCAATGCTTGGCACCCAGTAGGAGCTTAATAACACTTGTTGACTGACTCAAGTCCGTAGCTGTTTTAAGCTGTACAAAGTCCCTCATCCACATGATCCCAACAACCCTGCCAGGCAGGTGTTATTTTTGGCTCCTTTTGACAGATGGTGAAAAAAAGCTCAGAGTCTAAATGACTTGCCCAGGGTCATGCAAGAAGTAAATACCCAAAGTGAGACCTGAATTCAGATGTTTCTGACAGAGTCTGGTGTTCTTTCTACTAAGCCACACAATCTCTTTTTAAACATCAGCTGCTAAGACAAGTGGGGTAGGCAAAAGGGTGTTGGCAGGGAGGGGGCTGGGACACGCGGTAAAAACTCTTCTGAAGCCATGTTGTTGCCTCTGCCCCTGACCATCCTGATGCTGAGTCAGGGGCTAGGACTGCCTTGACCCCCACTACAGCCACCGCTGTAGTCTGGCACGAGAAACATGGGATTCAGGCACTGTCCCAAGGTGCTTTATGGGAGTTCAGGCAGGGGGCTGCCAGTCCCGTCAAGCTAGCCAGCTTCCCTCCCCTTAACCCACTCTCACCTCCAACTTTCCTTGCCCCAGCCTCTAGCCTGCATTCACATTGGCTGCTCTGGGGCTGGGATTTGAAGGAGAATTCATTTATTCCTTCCCCTTTTGTGCAGTTTTAAGTTGGAATGGCATGCTTGATATCAATGTGAACCCTTCTCCCCTAAGCTCATTTTCCCCCCTTTGCCTTGTTGTCTATTGAGATACTTAGCTGGGCTGCTTGACATTTTTACTTAAAACCGTTGGGCTTAACTGGTGCTGGCTAAATATATTTTGACCTCAATTGTGACCTGCCATTCCCTCCTCCTCAGCTAGTGTTGCCAAGGGCTGTCCCGAGCCAAAACCTCCCCTTTTTCTGGACGGCGATTAACCTAAGCAGATTGGCAAAGATTACTCAGCCTCCTCGGCCTCCCCAGTTCTGTGCTAAATGGAGAGGCCAGTTGGTAGGTGGGAAGCTCAGGTGTGTCAATTTCTTCCACAGATGCATCTCCTTTGTCTTAGAAAGTCACCTTGCAAAATGGGCCTAAGTAGGTTGGTTTTGTTCTCTGTTCCCCATGCCATCCTTCTTCATAATCTTGGGGCTGATTTAAAGAGATTATTTGGGTCTCCAATGAGGCTTTGGGTAGACACAAACTCTTATAGCTTATTTTATATGGATGCTAGAGGAAGAAGGAGGGAAAAATTAAGGGCCCTAGAATGGAAATTGCAGAAAGACTCTTGGATGCCACTAACTTTCCAGACTACAAAAGTTTCCATTTCTTTTTAAAATTTTGTTTTATTGATATCTTCATTTATGTTGTCTAAATTTCCCCTTGAATCTTTTCTCCCTTTTTCCTCCAAGAGGGACATCCTATAACAAAGAATTTAAGTTCCCACTTCAAATATCGTTATCTTCCCAAAGAGAAATCCTCCCTCCTCCAATATTGTTACCCCCTCTCTCTGCTAGCCTCCCCCCCAACCCCCACCTGCCCCAGTGCCCTCGGTCTCAACTCAGGTGCATTTCCCTGTTTCTAGTCCTCATCTTACATAGCATACTTGGACTTTCTGGACCTGGCTGAGGATTGGCTATAATAGGGGAGGGGAATGGAAGAGAAAATAACCCCAAAACTCAGAGGCTTGAGGACACTCGAAGCACCTGTGCAGTAGCTCATTTTTGGTTTAAAGGATGGCTGGAGTAATAGAACTCAAAGGCAAGTCTTAAACCTAGATATTTGATTGTGCATACTGAGTCCCCTGGGGGAGGGAGGTGGTGTCTTCTTCACTTGGCTTCCCTGAGACTTCTCTTCCCCAAACTCCTTAGTCTAAACCAGGGTGACGAAGCAGGTTCCCCACCCCTTGCCTAAACCCCAGACCATCTCTGATGGAGTAGCATGGATAGTAATGACTGACTATGGGGTGACTCACAGTTCTGGGTCATGAGTACTCAGTAAACACTCTCAACTTTATCTTTCCTGCAAGATGAGTCAAATCTTATTGGGTCTTTATAATAGGATGCTGGCTGAGATTCCTCTCTTGTTGCATCTTCAACAGGGAAAAAATGGCTCCCAACAACTGTTAGCTAACATCCTTCTGCCTACTCTTTGGCAAAGTGGGATAGTGACTTGCTTATTCCCAAGTAGAGGAATAATAATAATAATAACTCATATTTCTATGGCACTTTTGCACTTTGTGAGCTAGGTAGGACACATAATATTATCATTTACATTTTGTTGTTCAGATGTGTCCAACTCTTTGTGACCCCATTTGGGGCCTTCTCCAGCTCATTTTATGGATGAGGAAACTGAGGCAAACAGGTTTAAGTGACTCGCCCAGGGACACATAGCTAGTAAGTGTCTGAAGCTGGGTTTGAATTCAGGAAGATGAGTCTTCCTGATTCCAGGCCTGGCACTCCATCCACTGCACCACCTAGCTGCCCATTTTAAAATTAAAATTTCCATTTTACCGATGTAGAAACCAAACCTTGGAGAAGTTGGCACTTGCCCACTGCCACACAGCTATTACATGGAGGAAGAACTTGGGCTTCTGACTCCAAATCCACACTTCTTTCTACCACACTACAGCCTGCATAGTACCAGAGGAACTGTAGTATAGTGGAAAGCATATTGTCCTTCAGACACCGGGATTTGAACCCAAGTTCTGTGATTCCAAATCAGCATTTTCTTCACTACACATTCCACCTCCCCCTGATTAGCTTTGTGACCATAGGCAATTTCTCAGAGACTCAGTTTCTTCATTTGTAAAATGGGGATAATAAAACTGTTACTCCTCTCCTCATAGGATTGCTATAAGAAAAGTACTGGGCAATGTGCTCTAGAAATGAGCTTTATGGTCATTATTACTAGGAGCACATATCAATTCTTGTTTGTCTTAGGATCACAGAGTTAGAACTAGAAGAAATGTAGAGGTTATTTGATCTGGGTCTCCAGTTTTACAAGTGAGGGAATTAAGGCCCAGATACTTATTTTATATAAATTCAGAGCTAGAAGGCACCGAAGAGATCGTCTAGAATTCAGGAGTGGGGAACCTGTGACCTTGAGGCCACATGTGGCCTTCTAGGTCCTTGGGTATGGCTTTTTTACTGAATTCAAGTTTTACAGAACAAATCCTTTTATTAAGGGGATTTACTCTGTAAAGTTTGGATTCAGTCAAAGGGCCACATTTGAGGGCCTAGAGGGCCACATGTGGTCTTGATGTCGAAGATTCTCCACCCCTGTTCTAGATCAATCCTCTCATTTTGTAAACGGGGAAACTGAGGCCTAGAGAGGTAAGATACTTAAAGCGGTAGATAAAAGAGCCTGTTTGGGAACCCAGTTCTTACGACTGGACTTGAAATCAGGAAGACCTGGGTTCAAATCCTGTCTCAGATACTTACTGTCTGTATAACCCTGGACAAGTCAATTGACTTCCTTGGGCCTCAGTGTCCTTATTAGTTAAATGAGGGGGTTGGACTTGATGGCTTCTAAGGTCTCTTCTAACTCTAAATCTGATCCTTTAACTCTCGATTCAACATTCTTTTCCCTGTACCATATGGTTTCCTTATACCGTACTGCAAGAAGACTGAAACCAACAGTGGGGTCTGGAAGATACCACAACGGTCTGAAAAGTGAAAAATTTAATCAAATGGTTATGTAGTCAAAACAGCGGGCGTCTGGGCATCCCTCCTCCCAAACCTTCCTCCTGCTGCTTTGAATTGACAGGATGTTTTAGCATCGTACGGAGAAGCGAGGATGCAGCAGGCAAAGTATGAGAGTGTCAGAGAGGTATAATTTCCAGACCTTGGGCTTATTCTCCCACTCACACCCTGAGTCATATTGCCAATTTGTAAAGCTCATGAAGATGAAAGGAACTCTGGAAATAGCCAGTATTTTCGGCATAAGGAAGATAGCTGTGTCAGTTAACCTCCTAAAGAACTTATTGGCTCTCTGTTCCCCACAAACAACAATTCTCCTAGCGTGATTCCAAAATAAAATACTGATTTTAATCACAAGGTTACAGTTCATGCTAGGCTGGAGGAAAACATCAGTTGGTACCAGCAAATGTTATTCCCGGGTTCATAGGATTTCAAGCTGGAGGGGATTTTAGAGATCCTCTAATCTAATAATGATAGCTAACTTTTACATAATGCTTAAAGTTTTACACAACACATTGCATACATGATCTCATTTTATCCTCAGCAGAGCTCAGTGAGGGAGATGCAATAGGTATTATTTCCCCCATTTTATAGAATAGCATACTGAGGTTAAGGGACTGGCCCAAAATCATACAGTTAATCAGTTTCAGAGATTCGGATTCAAACCCAGGTCCCTCTAGCTCTTAAGTCCAGCCTTCTTTTCACTATATCCCAAGCCCTCCACCCTCTCTGGAGTTTTAATATATTATGTACATAGAGTGATTTAATTAATAAAGGAAACTCTTGATAGCCTCTTTAGCCCTCCTGCCACAGATCAGCAATTCATCTAGAATTTTAGTTTTAGAGAGTTGCCTGGAGCACTGAGAAATTAAGTGATTTGTTCATGGCCACATAGCTAATGTGTCAGAGGTGGGATTTGAACCCAGGTCTTCCAGCCTCCAAATTTATCACTCTATCCTCTCTGTCATGCCTGGACCTTTCCAGGTATAGACCACATGTATGTGGCGAGAGGTTCAGAAGAACACAAAAAAGCCCCTTTTCATGCTGTGAGCTTGGATATGTTTAATACAAGGGTCCTATTGTCACCTCTGAATCTACTTATCCTTTCTTCCCAACTATAGTCCTATTGCTTTCTTTAGGGAGATTCAGAAGGATAAGGTAGGCACTGGAGAGTAAGACATCCGTGATCAAAGAGTTTGTGTGGTAATCTACCCTGGGATGTCCAGGTATCCGTCTCTGGGTCATAACAATCAAATGAGTCTGAGTCTTCAATGTTGCTGTCCATGGTTAGCCTCCGGCCTCCAGTCACATAGAGCTTGTCCCCAATCACTGTGGCCCCATGGTGCATCCTCCTGTCTTTCATGTCAGCACATTTCACAAATTTGTTGGTTTGAGGGTCATAAGCAAGGAGCCTCCTTGTATAACCTGGGAATAGAGTAATGCATTGTCACCATCAGCATTGTGCTCAGCCCTGTGTTAACATTTTCATTGGTGACTTGGATGAAGGCAGACACAGCATGTACATCAGGTGTGCACATGGCACAAAATTGGGAGAGGTGGCTAAGCTGAAATTCACTCAGCAAAGACATAGTCGTATATTTGAGTTTAAGAAATTGACTTCAAAAGTACAAGATGGTTAGTCGGCAGTTTGTCTGAGAAAGATCGAGGGGTTTTTAGTGGGCTCTAAGTGCAATCTGAGTCAATAGTGGGATTTTTGTTCTTTTGGTCTAGATCTGGGATTTTATCTGTGAGGAAGCTCCCTCTACCAGTGCAAAATGACAACCTCCCTTCAACTTAAAGGCTTAGAGAGTTGCTTGGGATATGGAGAGTTTAAGCCACATGCTTGGGATGCCAATCCAGGATGGATCAGAGGTGAGACTTGAATCTAGGTCCTTCCAACTCCAAGTCTAGCTGTTTCTCATTCCATGCTTCCTCTCAGTAGTCAGAAAAGCTAATGCATAAGAGAATGCATTTAGACTGCATTAAGATAACACCCCCCCCCAAGTGTAAGGAGGGGGTAATCCCATGTATTCTGTTCAGTACACAACACAGAACGGAATATTGCATTCAGTCCTGATTATCACATTTTAGGAAGGACAGTGATAGGCGAGGGATTATTCAGATAAAGGCAGCTAGAATGGTGAAGGGATTTGAGGTTGTGCCATATGAAGACTGGATGAATGAAATATGGATAAAAAGAAAAGAAAAGAGAAAAAGAAGAAAAAAAGAGTCTCTTCTTGGAAAGAGAAGATTTAGGGTGGATCTGATCTCTTCAAATACTAAAAAGGCTGGCATGGAGAAGAGAGATTAGGCTTGTTCTGTTTGACTCAGGAAGGCAGAATTAGAAGCCAAGACCAGAATGCGCAAAGAGACCAATGTGGGCTTTATTTAAAGGCCTTCCTAACAATTAGCACAAGCCCAGCATTGAAGAACCTGCCTTGGGAAGTGGTGGGTTCCCCATCCCTGGAGGTGTTTGAGCAAAATCTGATGCTTATTTGTCAGGGTTTTGTAATGCGGGTTCTTTTGGGGGCAGGAGTCACTAAATGACCATTGAGGGTCCTCCTGAGTCTGAAATTTTGGAAATCTCAGCCCATTCCAGCTTTGGGGAACAGCCCATGCAAAAGCAAAGAGGCAGAAGATAGAGATGGAAGGCTCCTGGCCTGACTGGCTGGAACCCAGAGAGCAGACAGGGAAATGACATGGATCCTAGGACCAAGAGCTGGAGATTACCAATTCCAAACACTTCCTAGTATGGAGTGGTCTCCACTTGACAAGGGCTTTAAGAAGCTCAAATGGCCAGTGAAACAATTTTGGTTTCTTTATTTTTTCCTCTAAATGTCAGCTATTAAGGGGCAAGAACCATAGTCCATTGCCCAGCCATGTGCAACATATGTTACCTGATGACATAATCTGTCACCTAGAAGAGTGTCATGTAGGCTGTGGGCACTAGGTCAATGGTAAAAGTCCTAAGTGGACTGAGATGATTATTAGTGGGTTCTCACTTCTGACCATTGGATACAGTACACCTAGTACTTGATGGTTATTTAGCCCCGGTTACTTAGAGTCCAAATATATCTCTTTAACTCTGACATATTTGTTCACTTATTTGTAGTTTGTTTTCGGAGGCAATTGGGGTTAAGTGACTTGCCCAGGATCACATAGCTAGTAAGTATCTATGGCTGGATTTGAACTCAGGTTCTCCTGACTCCAGAGCTAGTGCTTTACCACTGCACCACCTAGAACTCTGATATGTTTAAACCTATTCAAGAACAGGGAGCTGGTATTCTCTCATTAATACAATTTAATAAAGAGAGGATAAAGAATTTTTGTAGATTGCTCATTATTCTAATGAGAGAGAAGTCCCTTTAAAAACAAAAACCTAAACTAAACTAACAAATTAACATGAAATAGTGTTTTAAAGTTTTAAGGTTTACGACGTGTTTTCTTCAGGACAGCTCTCTGAGATAGAGGGTGCAAGTATTGTTACCTTCATGATACAGATGAGGGAATTGAGGCTGAGAAAGGGGAGGGCACTTGCCCCAAATCCCCAAGGTAGTAAATGTCAGAGCTGGGATTTCAAGACCAGACCTCTTTCTAATTTCTATTAAAAAAGGTGAATGGTCAGTTAGAATGGCATTTTCCTTTGAGTGACTCTTCTCTAATGGAGAACCCAAGGTCATACCCAAATGTAGTCACACTTCAGGCAAACTTACCTCCAACAATGATAATTTGGCTCCTGAGCACCACTGCTGGAGCACAGACATTCTTGATCATTCTGGTCTCCATTCTGAACCATGTATTTCTGGAAATATGGTAAACCTGTAAGAGAATATGGCAGGGTCACAGCAATCAGGGCACAGCATTGTTTTTAAGTCATTGAAGTATATTCCTTATCCAGAATAAAAGTACAGAAGGTAATATGATTCCAGGATGATCCCATGACACTCAAAGTTTAATCTTGATGTGGCCAAGTGTTTTATAAAATAGTCCAGTATTTCTGCATAATAGGATGCTCATAGGATTGGGACCTGGATCATGCATAGCTCAACTCTCTTGTTTTTAATATTTGGCTAACCAAGGAACTTGTGACTTACACAAATGGTGAGTTTCAGAGATAGGGTTCAAACCCCAATCTTCCAAATCAAGTACAAACATTGATTTAAATGCCACTCCACTCTTGGTTCTCTTCACTTTTCTGCCTCCATCCCCGCTCCCCTCTCACCCTAGAGATGCATTTGTCTCTGTGGCTTCCTTCTCCGATTGGTGAAGAAGTCCCTGAGCCAACCATACTCACTTCCTTCCTGGCTCTTCTTACTCTCTGGCCTTTTACACCTTCCTCCCCCAGCCTAACTTTTCAGCTTTATTTTATATTAGAAGGTAAACTCCGTGAGAGCAAAAACTGTCTTTCTTTTTCCTTGCATTTGTATTCCCAGCACTTAGCATAGACTACATAATAAGTACTTAATAAATGTTCTCTCTCTCTCTCTCTCTCTCTCTCTCTCTCTCTCTCTCTCCCTATATCTATCTGTCATCTATCCATCACTGTCTAGCCATCTACCTCTCTATTCTTTTTTCTATCACTATCTCTCTCTATCCATCTCTTCCTCCATTTCTCTCTCCATCTGTCTATCCCCCCCGGGTTCACTTCTTTCTCTGGAAGGCACTTTGAAGGTCGCCTCATTTTATGGTGAGGAAGGGAGGCCCAGAATGTGAAGTGATTTGCTCAGGGTCACACACTTGGCAGGTGCCAGAGCTAGAATTGGACAAGGGTCCCTGACTCCACATCCTGCTCTCCTGCCCAACATTATACTATCTCCCACTTCCTTCTACACCACATTGCCTCTCAGAGCTTTGAATGTACCCCATTTAACAGGAAATGTAGAGACATGTATACCTTCTAGATCAGTGTATTTCCACCAGCTTAATGTTAGATCCCTCCCACTTTTCAACATACTCTGAAGGCAAGAAAAGAGGGTCTGAGTTCTGCTTATTCCATTTGGAGCAGGTGGGGTGGCCTTTGAACCACTTAGCACAGAAGCAGAATCTGAGAATTGGAAGCCATTTAAGGGCCATCTGATCTAGCCTGTATTTGAATGGAAATCTCCATTACAAGATAAGTGAGCAACCAGCCTTGTCCTGAAGACCTTTTGTGAACAGGTGCCCACCACTTCCTGAGACAGCCCATTCCACTTTGAGGTAGCTCTAATTGGTAGGTGGCACAGTACATAGAGCACTGGGCCTGGAATCAGGAAGACCTGAGTTCAAATCTGGCCTCAGACGCTAATTGTGTGTTCCTGGGCAGTTCACTCAACCCTATTTGCCTCAGTTTCCTCATCTGCAAAATGATCTGGAGAAGAAAATGGCAAACCACTCCAGTATCTTTGCCAAGAAAACCCCAAATGGGGTCACAAAGAGTTGGATACAACTGAAACAATTCAACAACAAAAAATCGGTAAGAAGGTTTCCTCCTTATAGTTTCATTGATCTGAAGCTGGAAGGGTTCTCAGAGGTGGTTTTTAGTTCAGCCCTTTCATTTTCCAGGTTAGGAAATGGAAGTACGGGTCATACAGACAATGTCAGAAGCAGAAGGTCCGCTGACTTAAGAACCAGCATTCTTTCCTTTATACCACACTGCTTCCATATAGCAAGCCTAAATCTCTCTCTCTGAATTCTTGCTTACAAATGATGCGAAGAGTTTTTCCTTTTGCTATGTAAAGTTTTTTTTTTTCTGACGGAAGGAAGAAGAGAAAAGGAAAGAATACAGGAAAAAAAAAAGAGAAGAAGGGCAGTATTTCAGCAATGGTTTCGTGTAAGGTAAAAGCTAGAGCTCTGGTGGAGTTGGAACCTCTCTCAGACTCAGTCTCCTCATATGACAAGTGGGAGTAATAATACCAGCTGCCTGAAAGAGATGTGATAATATATGGAAAGGGCTTTGTAAACCTTAAAGTGCCTTATAAATGTCATCTATCCTCCTCTTCCTCATTATTATTAGACACACCTGTGAGGTATAATGCTTACAGTGTTCCAACACAATGGTTGGGAAATACTATATTAACTAATTATTTCCTATATAAATTTTATCGTGTGAATTTCCTCTTTAAAAATAACAATGATAGGGGTAGCCAGGTGGCACAGTGGATAGAACACCAGTCCTGGAGTCAGGAGGACCTGAGCTCAAATCTGGCCTCAGACACTTGACACTTACTAGCTATGTGACCCTGGGCAAGTCACTTAACCCCACGGCCTAGCAAAAAAAACAAAAACAAAAACAAACAAACAAAATAACAATGATAAATAACATTTTAGCGCTTAATTTGTGCTAAGCATTTTATAATTACTAGCTCACGTGATTTTCATAACAGCCCTGGTAGGGGTGCTATAATTATCCCCATTTTTGCGGCTGAGGAAACTGAGGCAGATAGAGGTTAAGTGATTTGCCCAAAGTCACACAGCTAGTAAGTGTTGAGGCTAGATTTGAACTCATGTCTTCCTGACTCCAAGTCCTACATTCTATCCACTAAGCCACCCAGGTGCCCCATAAAAAGCATCCTAAATTGAAGAGAATCCATTCATGAGAAACTTGGAGATTATCAATATGGCATAATTTTCATGTGAGTATACTTAAGCATGGAAATGTATTGCAGGTAGAATCTCCCTCTTTGGAAGCTTGATAGAATGAGTTCTTATTGGTCCAGGATTGTATAAAAAGGACCCTACCTGAAGGAAGGGAGATGCACTGGATGGAACTCCAGAGGTTTCTCTTGGCCTTTGATTCAATGAAGCAAGGAAGCAATAATGTGTTATAGGAGATGAAAAAATGGGAAAGCAATTCACAGCATTGCTAATCATCTTTGGAAAAGACTTGAAAATCCTCTTAGGAAAAGCTAATCTGGGTTTTATTTTACCAAGGTGAGTAAATGCCACCTTGTCTTTCCTTCTGAATCTGTACTGGGTACAGTTTCATTAACAGAATAATAACAATAAAAGCTCTTTATGGCTTGCAAAGCAGTATACATATGTTAACTGATTTGATCCTCATTTGAATAAAAATTTTCTCGACAATATTAACCATTTCTCGGAAAGTAGGTGGCAAGTTGGCCTGTAGAAGAGAAGGCTTGGAGTGGGCCATTGGAGGAAACATGATATTTAAGTTAGTATATTTAAGTAGTCAGAGACTGGTATGTAGATAAGGGACTACACTAATTCCATTTGTGCTGAGAGGGCAAAACTAAGAGATTGGGTAGAAGATGGAGAGGCAAATTTGGGCTCAATAAGAAGAAAAATTTGTTAACAATTAATTTGTCAGGAGAGGATGAGTTCCCCATTGTTGGAGGTCATCAAGTAGAAGCTATCAGGGAAGTTGTAGGGGGGATTGCAGTGAATTATGAACACAAAGTGTGTTATTATGATGATGTGGCTTGTCACAAAAGCTAGTGCAATCTCAGGCCTATGGCCCAGAGTACGGGGATAATGGTCATGCTCTACTCTGGTAATGTGTTTCAGTTCTGGGTGCCACATTTTAAGAAGGACATCAACTAATTTGAGAATGTCCAGAGGAGGGCACCCAAGATGGTAGATGACCTTGAGATCATTATCATCATCATCATCATCATCATCATCATCATCATCCTCATCATCCTCATCATCCTCATCCTCCTTATCCCTAGCATTTATATAACACTTTAAGGTTTACAAAGTGCTTTACAAATATTATCTCACTCTATCCCCAAAATAACCCTAGGAGGTAGGTACTATTATTACCCCCATTTTACAGATGAATGGATTGAGGCATATGAGATCATGACATATGAAGACTGGTTGAAGGAGCCGACTATGTTTAACTTAGAGAACAGAAGACTTAGCAGGGACAGGTGATAAGTGTCTTCTAGTATTTGAAGGGCTGTCAAGTGGGAAGAGGGATTATACTAATTTTGTTTGACCCTAGAGGGCAGAAGCAGGAACAGTTGGTGAAAGTTGCATAGAATTAGATGGTGACTTGAAGTAAAGGCAAAATTCCCTACCAACTAGACCTAGCGGAAAATGGAAAACGGACTGCCTTGAGGCATGGTGGGCTCCCTGTCACTGGAGGATTTCAAGCTGAGGATGGATGAACACTCATCTGGTATGTCATCATTGGGTCTCTTATTCAGGTAAGGGTTAGAGTAGATGGCCTTTGAGGTCCTTTCCAATCCTAAGTCCAATTCCTATAGTCCTATACAGTGTCAGTCATTTCCCCTTGCAGAACTTAGTGAGATTATTCAGAAGTAGAATCAGGAACAAAGATTGGATTGATAAGACAGGAATGTGCAGGTTGAAGGCCAATGCCCTGTTTCCCAAACCAAACCCCACAGTTGTGCTTAAAAATCCCAACCTGCTTCATCAAATAACTCTAAACATTCATCTTCAATATGTTTGAATGAGTGAAATTCCCTTTTCAAAGCCAGGGCTAAAGAGCCAAGAAAAGCATCTGAACTTACTACTTTTAATTTTTTTTCCATTGCTCCAACTGGAAACAGCCACATGTATTATACTTCTTGGCTCTGTGACTTGTTTGATTGTATCATTTAATTCTTGAAAGGGTAGCATGGATGATTCAGAGGTTTTCAGGATGATAACTGTGTTCTGTTCTTCTCTGCTGAGGAAGTAGAAGACCAAATCCCAAATCCCTTTCTCTCCCAATAGGAAGGTAGCAGGATGGGGGAAGAAGGATGGCCAAAGGGAATGGTTTGGTTAGGAGAGGAGGTGCCCTTCAGTCTCACACGGCATCACGTAGGCATGGGGCAGCATGAATAGGGAATAAAAATTCCTCGTTATACCTG